CTGGAGTGCAGTGGCACGATCTCGACTCACTGCAACCTCTGCCTCCTGGGTTCAAGCGATTCTTCTGCCTCAGCCTCCTGAGTATCTGGGACTACAGGCGCACACCACCACCCCCGGCTAATGCTTGTATTTTTAGTAGAGACAGAGTTTCACCATATTGGCCAGGCTGGTCTTGAACTCCCGACCTCGTGATCTGCCCGCCTCAGCCTCCCAAAGAGCTGGGATTACAGGCGTGAGCCACCGCGTGCAGCCGGGAAGACCTTCTTCATGGCAAAGAATGGGTTCTTTCAGAGGACATTTCTGTAATGTACAAAAGAACCTGCAACCCGGGAGACAGAAGACTGGGAAAGGCCCATGAAGGGCAGAGCTCTCTCAGTAATGGAGGAATCTAACAGGACTGCTGCTAACGGAGCCCCAGGCGAGCCCTCCTGCAAGGCGGCTCCCTGCCAGCGCCCAGGCAGGGCTGAGAAGGGGCCTGGCTGTGGATCTTGCTGGGTTTCAGCAGCACAGAGGCCCACTGGCCTCGGACGCAACATACACCTGGGGAAGTGCGCGGGCCCAGCGGAGACGTAACTACCAATAGTCTGGACTCACGGTAGTCTTCAGACTCGTCCAGGATCTCGGACCGGATGATCTCCTCGATCACGTCCTCCAGGGTGACCAGGCCCAGGACCTCGTAGAAGGGGTCGCCCTCACCCTCGTTGTTCACCTTCTGCACGATGGCCAGGTGGGACTTCCCTGTGGGGGAGGACACTCATGGAACAGCTTGCTGGGCCCCCGCACTTTGATTCGTCTCCCTCGGGGCCCAAAAGGACGTGGCTAACATTCATGTTCCTACAGCGGGTCAGGCACAGAGCCAGACTCTCTTCTAGGTTTTTACTTAAGACGCCCAGCATGACTATGAGGACTGGCCTTATTTTCACACAGGTGGAAAACACAGCCCTGGGCTCAGGCTTGCTCATCTGCACAGGCCCCCCAGGCAGAGGTGGCCGAGCTGGGATCCAGCTCCAGGTCTGTGCGCCTCCATGCCATGGATGCAGTTCAGACAAGGATGCATCCAGTCGAGAACACATGCGCCTCACACAGCAGCCAGCCCGCATATGCAGGCTAACAAGGGCATGACTCCGGAAA